GCACATTGGCAGCAATACCATACTGGCCATTATTTTATTACAGAGTTAAAGTGTCACTGGTGGTGACAGGAGAAATACAATGAACTTGCCTGGAAGCCTTCACCCTTTTTTACTGCGATGGTCAGAGCACTGAAAGAGCAATTGAAATTACTACAGATATCCCTTTGGTTCCTCCAAGATCTAATACAACTTAATCTTGTTCATCTCGGATAATCACATCAAGTCATTAGCTCACCGATAATTCACCTCACGGCAAGTGCCATGACTTGGCAAGAGCAGGCTGTGCTCTTCAGGCAGCCAAAGCCTGAGCATCTCCTGGCCATCCCACTGCCCCCTGCCCACTGTGCAGGTCCCCCGCAGGCAGCCGTGGGTGGGCTGCCCCCAGGCAGGGCTCATGCACGCAGGGCCAGCTTGCTTTCAAATCCTGCTTTGTTTTATGGCAGGGACAGCCATGCTGCTCCTTGCATGGTGAAAGGAAAAAAAAAAAGCATCATTGTAAATGACCTAACGCTTTTAAAACGCGGCATGGTAGGAACAGGGGTATCTCAGAAATACTTTAATTAAATGAGCTCAAAATCACACTAGGCACTCTACACAAATAGCTAGCCAAATGCATCAATTTTCACACCAAGTCCGACTGTGCATGTGGCTTGCAAAGGATGCAAAAATCTTGCTTTAAACAAGCTTGTTGAAATTCATAAATTTTGCCAATTTGCTAAAATAGAGCTCAGCTATGCAAAGCAGCAGAAGTCCCACAAAATCAGATGTACCTGACAAAGTAGGAGGTGTAGAGGAGCTAAATTTTAAAGTGCTTGAAATGCCTCCTTGTTTTGAGCCTGCAAAACTCAGCTGGACACTTCCCAGAAACAGGCTTGCAAAAGACTTCCACAGAAGCAGCTTTTAAGAAGTGCCTATATAGGATTTCATCCTTTCTGGCACCAAAGAAAACCTGGATTAAAGCTGCACTCAGCAACCCAAGTAGCAAAAAAAGGATGATTCCAATTTCTCTAGAATGACCACACCAAGCCCCAGCCAGGTAGCACTGGCTGCACTGGAGACATGCCAGAAGCACAGAAAGAAAAGTATTTGCGTATATTTACAACATGGTAACATTAAAAATATACAGTTATTGTTGTCATTTATGCAGCTAGCTTTGGCACTTCAAGCTGAATTCTTCAACAACTCATAGTCCTTAATAGTTGGGAAGATGCACCAGTTGGGCTCTTCTTCTCCAGTACCCTAACACCCTCATCGGCGTACGACATGTCCCAGACCACTCTCATGAGCTCCCATCTGAATTTCTCAAGCTTTGCCTGGGACTGACGCAGAGCAGAACACTGTGGCCTCTGGGCTGTTGCTTCCCAGGACACCCTGGGCAAGGAAAGTCCCCTGGGCTCACACCAACAAGACAGGCTGGCTGCAGCTCTAACAACTATTTAATTACTATTGATCTTGAGACTTTTTAATGTTCAGGTGCCCACAGGTAACTATCTGGACTTACAGATCAGTTTCTCAAACCTTGCACCCAGAGAAGCCAAGGAGCATTTTGAAGGCCAACCTACCCCAGCAGTTTAGGGCATGAAGCAACATGGACCGGGCCACCCTGTTTTGGAATGAGGAGGAGAAGGGGTTCAGTTGTATGAACACAAGCCCAACCACTTGCCAGGAAAACAAGCCCTGGCCTATTGTATGCATTAGTACTGACATGGCCATCGGGGCTCTGCAAGAAAGCCAGAAGACGTAGACTTTGGATGAAAGCTGGAGCAAATGCTCACAAAATTACTGTCCAAGTGCATCCTTGGCATGGCTAATGTCCCATTCCACCAAGTCCTTTCAGGGCCAGGGATCTGCACCAAAATGCAGAGCAAGACAGGGCTGTGTCCTCAGCAAGCCCAGCCAGTGCAGGCAGGAAAAGCAGGAAGGCACAGGCAGCTGGCTGAGCACCTCCCCTTCCCTCCTCACCCCCTGAGCTGCGAGAATCCTGGGAATTCTCCAACATCCTCCTGCTTCTGGACAGAAATCCTCCCTCTGGCCAGGACTGTGAGGATGGCCATGCTGCCGCCAGACCTTCAGCAGGGGTGAGGAAGGGGACGGTACCCCTGCCCTGCAACACAGACTCACTGTATAAAGTCCCTCTCAACCTAGATCCACAAAAGGGACCAGATTTGGGCTTAATATATACATCTTGCTCTGATGGAGCCGTTCTGCCCACGGCTGCTGCTCTGCCTTGCTCTCGGTAGAGCGGCACCAGGGCAGCAGAGCCTGACCAGAGCAGGAATTCCAGCAATGCCAGCTATGCCGTGTCCTCCTCTTTGCCCCCAAAGGGTCAGGTCTCCATCTAAACAGGAAGACAGGATCGGCCAGACCCCAGTCACTCGCCCTCCGAGTCCAGACCGCCAGGGAGGAGAGGGGAGGCAGCGCTGCAGGAGCTGCTGCTGCTCCTGGCCCCATCCCTCCCTGCTCTCAGCCCAGCAGAGGCAGTTATGGGGGGCTTCCAGGGTGCACTCCCCCTCAGGACCCCTGCTGTCAGGCAGGATGCTTCCTCACTTCTTTGCAGGATCTTTTTTTTTGTCATGTAGTAAATACAAGCACAGCTCAGTGAGCAGCTAGGGCAAAGGCAGCACTAAGAAAGGGGAGCTGCAGCAGCAGGGCAGATGGCGAGGGTCCCCCTCCCTCACCAGCAGGGACTAACTCAGAATAAACAGACTCAGCACTTTCCCCCTAAAACAGGGACTGCATTAAAAACCCTACAAACCTCAGGGTCAGAAGCTGCTTTACACACCACACACAGAACCATTGCAGCCTGCAGCTGAAGATCTCCCACCACTTGCTTTCTGTGCCTAAATAAGCTTTTTCTTCCTCTGGTTTCCCCACGGCAATACTTTGGGATCACTTTATTCCTTAAAGAACACAACTACCCTTCTGCTTTAAGAAGGACATGCATTCCTTGACCTCCAGCCAAATTCAAACCAGCCTCCGGCACCCAGCCCAGCCAGCGAATGCCCTTGCAACGCCGCGGTAAGGTCTTGCTGCTGGGTGCAAGGCCAGTGCAAACCACAGGAAACCAGGGAAGGGCTGTATGCGTAAACTCCCATCAAACCAACCATCCTGGCATCCTCTTCACAAACAGCACCCCGCGACAAATAAACAGACATTAAAAGCCTCTCTGGCAGATCTGATCTGCAAACTCATGACCCTTCAATGACTTGCATCTCTCCTGTCTTACACTAGATCAAGGAGGCCTGAGCACATGTTGCATGCACATCACTCACCATAAGAAATCATTATTTTACCCTAATTTGTGTCCTTCCCACACCATTCAGAACTTTACCTACGAATTTTCTAAGCTATGCTTAAGTTTATTTATACTGGTCAACAACGATGTTTTAGTGTTTTGGGTTTTTTTTTCCCTGAGTTTATTTAAGCCCTCAAAGTTGTGACAATCCTCCCATACTAATGTGGAGTTATGTGATTTCATGGCTGGAGCTGCATTCTTTCAAAAGTCTTATCTTGAAAGGCAGCAGAGGAAACCGCTGTTTGTAAGAGCGCTTGATGGCGTAACAGTTGTTCTATCCAAACCTCGTCTGGAACCAAGGTGAGCAAACGTAATACCATAAAGGACTTCTCAACTTGTGCACCAGCCACAACATTAACCACCACCAAGAGGACAGGGCAGCAGATAGGAAAGCTGTTGAGAAAAGCCCACAAACCATGTACACCCTGGAAGTTTGAAACAGAAGAGCCTTGCAATCTGTCTCTCTGGGCTATGATACTCCTCTCCTCCTCTGGCAATGAGAAAAGAGGAAATGAGGTTACAGCAAGACTCCACAGGAGGGGCTGAGAGAGGAGCAGGGTGACAGTCGAGCCCCAGTAGGGCTGCTCAGCCACACAGGTCCGATGCTTACGGGATCCCGCAAGGCCACCAGAAAGACTCAACGTCCCTGCGAGTGTCCACGGCTCCTTCCAGTTAAGAGTACTGTTCCCAGGAGAGAGCCATTGCTGGAAGACAGGGCAGACCCCTTGCTCCGACCCACGGAGCAGACAAAATTACCTGCGCCTGCACCCACACTGCCACATATGTCAGACAAAGGTCCAACCACTGCCCAAAGGGCTGTCTCGTGCTTCAAAGAGCAGTCAAGCTCCTGCTGTTTTAAGCCTGGGGCAGCAAGCTCACCGGGTGTGTGGTCTGCTCACCTCCCAGCCCACCCCTGAACACCTTCCAGTTGTGCAGGAGAGAGGCCAGGGTGCAGAGGAAAAGCTCCTCTCCTGGCTATCAGCCAAGCATTATATGGTAAGAGCACCCTGCATCCTGACTATAAGTATTTTGGGAAGCCAGATGACTTCATTACTAGCTGACCTACTCACTGTTAAACAAGCTCGCTGCCGGCTTGCCCCAGAACTTGTTACTCAGCACTTTAATTTGCACGTTGCCATTTACCAGGCACTAACCTGCTGCCATACCCAGGCAGCGCCCGAATTTTCCTGCAGCTGAAGCGCTTATGCAAGCTGTAAAACACAAAGGTACCTCTTCCACAGGTAGGTTGCTGATACCTTTGAATTGGGACTGACACAAGAGGAAATCCTCTGAATCATGGACATGCTACGGTTTCCACCCAGCACTGGCAGCTCCGCATCCCACATCCACCTTTCACCCCATCCCTGCCTCTGCAGTACATGCGCCTGCACAAGACGCAGCACCGTGAGCGTGGAGATGACCCTCCTACTGCTCGGGCTGCAGCTAACCCCAGACACAGCATACGGGATGCCCAGGTACCACAGGGCACAGCCAGCACTGGGGATGCTCCAAACATGGCGGTGTGGCACACGAAGCTTGTAGGCATCACACCCGGGTTACAATGAAGAGGGGGATGGTGAAAAATACAGTTACGAATGACCTGGAGGATGTGACTTATGGAAGGGAAGGCTGTAAGCAGAGAAAGAGGAGCGGTGCTCCCGCCACCTCGACGCACAAGGGGAAGGAGTATCCTTGCCACACTCACCCTGATCCGACGCATGGCCGTCACGATCTCCACGCGGCTGTTTGGCCGCGGCACATCCAGGCTCCCGATGTACTGGAGGGAAAGAAAGAGCAGATTAGTTGAATTTCCATGGCACTGGACACCTCACGGTCCCACCACGGCCTCACAGCATCCCCAGAGGGAACCCAGGGTTACTTCTGGGGAACAGGTGGCGTTTTGCCCACTGCACTTGAAGCGTCACACACCTCCCACTATGAAGCTGTTCCCTCACCACAACATTTCAAGGATTCAGCAGCCCTTACTCTAAGAATAAAGTAACTTCAGTAATCAGGCCAGCAGGACTCATTGATCAAAGTACATACGTATAAGCCAATATCGCCTTTGCTGCATTGAGTCATCTATTATAGACCTGGATACTGGAATATCCCTAAAATAGCTGGGGCAACCTGTCCTGTGACAGGCCCTTCACTATTTAATTACAGCCCTGCCAAACCCTTGGCTGTTTTTGCAGCAATGCTGAGCCTCCAGGCCAAGCCTGCAGAATAAAGGAGCTGCTTTGCTATTCAAAGGGGACCAAAGGCAGCACCGCTGTGACCCAGCACGGAGAGCTGCCGAACAAAAACCTTTTTAAAAATAAAATGGAAGAGGGCAGATTCAGAAGAAGGATCAGAAAACAGACAAGTGATGAAGAGTCAATGCAGAGTGCTAAAAACATGTAGTTAAAAGAAAAGCGTTTTCAGTCTATTTACTAGCCCCCTGTGCTCCCACGCTTCATCTTGACACGAGCACTGACGTAACCCTCGGCAGCGCAGTGTGGGCACTAAACCGGGCAGGGCTACGTGTTCCCGTGAATACAGCCATAACCTTTGCTGACACCACGAAAACTCAGGTCGCTGGTTTCAAGCGCCAGCGATGAGACGGGTGCTTAAATGGCTGAACATGTCACCGTACAAGCAGAGGCCGCCGAGAGGGGTTACTTCTCACCCAGCATCACTGCGGGACTCCTGGCTCCTCTGCGCTAGGATGCTGCTACCACTGCTATTGAGGGCACAGCGCGGGGGCTGCACAACCGACCCTGGGTTTTGTGCGTACACGCTGTCCCAGAGAGCCCTCCTTGCTAACCCTCTGCGCCCACACCCCAAATTCAACAAGCCCCCCTCCCTCATTGAGGCCATCCTCAGCTGCATGGCTCCTGCCCTGGGTGCAGACAGAGGCAGGCGTCCAGCAACCGGCACCGGGCAATCAGTGGTAAGAGCAAATGCGAAGAGAGAGGATATAAAAATAAACCCCAAACAGCTGGCACGTTCATCACGTGCTGAGCAGGCTGCCATGGTGCAGGGCAGCTTTATGTAACCAGGGACTAAAGCCCATGCTGCTGGCAAAGGCAGCATTAACTGCCCAGACCCCAACTGCTGAATGCCCAACTGCAAAAGTGCACATCTTGGTAAGTTTTCAAGTGCAACGACTAAACATAGCCTTCCCATCCCTTCAAAGGTTCAGGTCATATTAAGAGAGGCATCTTTGACATCAATCGATTCCCTTTTCTTATATAAAGTCTGGAAACCATCAATAAATAGTAGGAGATGAAGAGAAGGGCTCAGGCGGCCAGTGCCCTGGGCACACCCCACCATAAGGAAGAACCCTTTCCCCATCTTCCCCCACCAGGCGAACATCTCAGCTGCACAGCACCTCTCCCTCTGAGCCTCCCCACGCTGCTCTTCTGGCAGGGACCACCCAGCACTGTTTCCCACTCACCTGCAAGGGAGACTTCTTAGCTTACACAAGGAGAAGGACAGACTTTTGCAGCCAGAGGATACCTATCTTCTTCCAGCTATTCCCAACAGCACAAGGTCACTGCCGCTGGAGGGGCAATCGCTTACTTTCTCCCCCCGTTTTCCTTCCCCAAGCGAGCACAGGCGTGTCCTTGCACGTGCAAGGACAGGGCAGGCAGTGGCAGCTATCAGCTGGGCAGGAGATGGCCCCATCCACCGCTGGCTCCCACAACCACATGAATTCGAGCAATGCCATCTTCCTGGCTGATAACCACAACCTTGGCCAGCAGCAACCATCAGTCATGCCCCTCATTGCGTGTGTGAGACTGTCAGGGCTGGGCTGTCCCATAACCAAGTGATGGAGCAGAAACCAGACATCGCCTTGGACCTCCTTGGATGGCCCTCCTGGGAAACAGCACCAGCAGTAGGAAGTGTCTTGATGCCGTCCTATCTACTCCCCTTTATTCAGCTATTCCCCTCCAGCCCATGCTTGTGAGCACCCAAACCAAGGGGCTCAGGTCACAAACCATGCAGGATTCGCCTCTGCTCCCAAACCCAGGCTCCAGGACACCCTGCTGCATCCCGCATCCTGTGAGAACGAGCCCCCACCAGAGCCCACAGCACCTCCAGCCCTGACGTGGGCTCACTTCATGCAATTACTATGCACACAGCTCCAATAACATCCAACTCTCCCCCGCTCTGGAGGCAGGTATTTTTTTCAGGTTTCACAAAACTCAACAGATGGACA